CCCTCCCTCCCTTCTTCCCTCCCTCCACTCTCTCTCTCCTAGACACCCTCCCCCTTTCGCTCTTCTTCTCCTTCAAATAAAGAGGTACTCTCACACACACACACACACACACACAGTGACACACACTGTAAGCAAATAGACATTTTTGCTTAGACGGTTGATATTTGCATGTTTTAAAACAACTTACACACGCCGACACTAAATGAGAACGCTCCCATTTTGATTTGACTGTCAAAGTGGGAGCGAAGGTAGCAGCAGGGGAAAACACATATTAATCTTAAGTCATCTTATCTTTGTGATTAACACTGACTAATACTAATATTTCAGCCACTGTGTTCACCACTGTGCATCCTGTCATGGGGCTTAGCCGCTAGCCACAAGGCTAGTGGCCACATTCTACAGCGTCCTGCTGGAAGAAGGTTCACGGTTTTCATCTGAATGGAGCAGGACACGAACCGAACACTGTACATTATACTCGGAAAGCTGATCTATAAGAGAACTACTCGAGCACGTGACTGGCAGTCAGGCCCTGGTTCAGCACTTTAGTTGGAGCCATTACTGCCCAGCGTGCCACAATGTGAGGACGCGGATGCACTTTGAATGCTGAATCAGCAATAAGCCACTCAGAGATTGTGGATCTGAGAGCACCAGACTGGCTGGTATTATTGTTTACACCAGGATTGAGACTTTAGAGTAGTGGATATGTGATCTTAAAGATTAAACGCAACCAGAGTTTTGGTGTAAGTGCCTCAACCCTGGAAATAATGCCTCTAAAATGTGAACAAAATCTGTGCTAATGACGGCTTTTCTGGCGATAGCAATGCGCTTTCCTACGCTCTAACAAAACTGTGTAGCTGAAGCATTGAGTTGTTCAGTTTAACTCATTTAAGGGCTGGCTAGTTAGCTAGCTAGCTTGCTAATTCTACCATGCTAAAGTTACAGAACATAGAAAGCACAGAAGGAACTGCTGGGCTCGGTCTACATTACTTTATTTATTGGTTTATTTGGTAGGGACAGTGCACATTACTAAAACATTACTGTAAATGTGCCAAAGTTAGCCAAGAGACCATTTTTCATCTGTTACATAAATTACTCTTCATGATGGTCGTTACCCTTTCACTTAGCTTATGCTAATCGCCAGCACTAATTGCTAAGGCTAATCGCTAGCATGCTGACTATTGTTATGCTGATGACATGTAGGTGATGTACAGGGTCTGTTATGGTGACAAAATACAGTATAAAGTCTTATAAACTTGTGAATTTCAGTTCAAATGCGAGGCTAGGATATGTGAATGCTGAATTAGCGCATGCTATGGGTATGCTAGCAATTGTCATTAGCGATCCACAGGCTAATTAAAAGGGTAACGGCTACTCTACAGGCCACTCTTCTCTTCACATACTGCGGAGTAGGGAGACGTTTAAAACACAATATTTAGACTAGAATTAAAATATGTTGCACTAAATAGCCAAGATTTGGACCTGAATGCATTAACAACACCACTAAGTACACAAATACTTTGGTTTTCAGCTAAAAAAAAGTGGTTTGAGTGTTTAAAATCACTACTTTATGATCGCAGTCAGAATAATAGCTACAGAAATACATACGACTATATTTGTGTCATAACTCCTAACACTGGGTGCAAGTGCACAATGACAGCCATTTATTACACAGCAGGCAAACTCAACATTCATTCTATCAAATCATGCAGTCATGCAGTGCTTCTTTCATTTGCAGGTTTTCAACATTCTCTCAATCCCACTGACTCCCTCCTTGTTCCCATCTCTATAATTTACCATCCAAGTGGTTTGAATGACAAAAAGGCAACATGTAAAGTTACAAGTCATAATTCCTCTAATGGGCCTTCTGTTATGTTAAGCAGAGGAGCCAACATCCTTAAATGTTAAAAAAAAACACCAAAGGGTGGGGCAACTCCACCACCATCCTTTTTAATCAAATATTGAGGAGGGAAAAAGAGTAGGTTTACACGCTGTGTGGGGCTGCACTCAATGCTGATTAAAATAAATTATTCATATTTAGGAGCAGCAGGGTGTTGGGATGTGCCGACAGGTTAAAGGTGTCATGAATCTCCCCCGAGGGGCCCTTTTTCAGCGTCACTGTGACGTATATTATTTTAGCCCATGAGTCTGTTTTAGACAACTTTTGGGGGCTCTATTCTGATATTTAAAAAAACAACACCTGCAACATCTTTAAGAGCTGATTTTAATATTAATGCACCAACCAAAATCCCAATTTATACTGGTTGTTTGTCACCTCGCAACAATGCAGTGCAGCTGCTGCTGAGGACTATACTCTTTGGCGGAGGAATACATAATTACACTTCCAGCCTCGTTGTCATCTACTGACATTATTTATTTTAAAAAAAAGTCCCCCACTAAGCATTTACACGGTTTCTTTCATGTCACATTGCATAAATGCAATAACCCTCTAACAACGCATCTAATCTCGTCTGTAACACCGTCAAACAGCTCGATTTGGGATTATATTTTTTTCCGAAAATCTGCTCGCGCGTCAACGGCCCTGTCTCTGAACCGTTTCGACGTCCCGTAAAACGGCTCTGTAAACCGGTGACTTTCTTGCCGGTAGGCCGCAAAGGATTTCAGCACCACACGTCTCCTGGACAGCTCCGTCCAATCGGACGCGGCCGTGTGAGGCGCGTCATCCCTCCTCATCCTTCCTCATCCTCCCTCCCTCCATCACCGAGGCATGGCGGAGTACAAAAAATAAATACAAAAATGCTGAGTTTCACATGCGGCTTCCTGTCAGAGGGACATGTTTGGATAAACGTGCAGAAGATGGATATTTGTTGCAGCCTCGTTTTCGACGCAAACACCACGAAGCTTGTGAAACACACAGACATTCGCTGATCGGGCTTTTTTTTTTTTATATAAATGACGTGTGTCCGGTTTCTACGCACAATGTCACACAACCTTAGCAGCTGGTCGGCCTCAAATTCTCACGTTTGACTTATAGTGACAACGGCCCTTTTCTTTAATGGCTTCAATTCTAACGTTAAACACACACTTGCTCACGGAAATGAACTCTGCAGAATGGCCCTCGTGCATTGAGCCGCATGGTCCATGCTCGTCCACCCGGCTGTGTACCTGACGTGTATAATACGGTGAAGCATCCCCTCCGTCTCGAGCTAATAACGACCCTCTGCAGCGACAAACATTCCAGCGCTGTGCTCGAAGCTGAAGCCTGCTAAGATGTCGCACGTTTGCACAGAGGTGGCGTTCAAACACGTGTAGTTTTTCGACAGATTTTACAGGCGTCACTACAACGCAGGCAAAGCGCCAACTGCAGTCAAAGAGTATATGTATATATAGATATTTATACATATATATAGACGTATAATGCTGTGCACAAAAAGAAGAGAAACGCCACAAACCTCGATGGATGGAAAAAGCCGGCAGTGAATGACACACGATGCGCCTCAGCCTCTGAGAGACAGGTACATCGCGTGTTATAGCCACAGCCCCGCGATGCTAGGTCATAACAATGATTGATAAATAGGAGGAAATATTACAAACTCACCTAATATAATCCAGAGCGACCCAGAGACCAAAACGAACGCGAGCATGTCTTTCTCATTGAGTCAGCTGTACCGGTGCAGGAGCGGCTCAAAACTGCAGCATCGACTGCAGCAAGTCGCCGACAATCTGAGGGATTAAGAAGGAGGGGAGGGAGGAGGGGAGGGTAGGGCGACAATATATCTGAGGCAGACCACAGTGGGGGAGCTGGGCAGGAGATGGCGACGGCCGGCCACGCTTTAATGTGGAGGAGGGAGATAAAATCAAACCAAACTACGGCCTATTGAACCATCTTTCCTCCTGGTGGGGTTCCTAGTTGGCTGCTGCGCAATGGCAGACTCCCCTGCTGCAACGACGGGGTTTATAGGTCGGACAGAAGATGCGATCGACGCCAAGGTTACTGGGGATGAAAGGTCTATTCTGGATGCTCGTGTTTAAACCAGGTCTTCATTTCATTCTCATATTCATTATAAAATTAAATAAAACCCGTTCCTGAAAAGCCCTGCTATGAATTCGGGCATTTAAATACTCTAGAAATAGAACTAAAGTCCTATACATATATATATATATTTTTTTCTGAAATTGAATAAATATCGTTTTTATCCGAAAAGCAGCTGTGCTATTTTGGGTCCGTGGCACATCACACCATAAACGTCCCTGCAGCTGAGCACAGCTTTGACACACAGAGTACCTTTTGCATCAGGATCACGTGGTGCAATAAGACACTCCCAATGAACTAAAGTAACCTTGAAATGGGCCGACAAAAGGGAGAGAGGCGGCGGGTGAGTGACAGCAGGGGTGAGACAGAGATGGGGCAAAAAAAAATGTATTAAATACTATTTAAAATAATACTATTTATTTGTAATATAAGTATAATTTTTGTCATTTGTGCATCACTGTTTGGCTCGCTGGCTCTTCAGAGGCTACATTTAAAGTGATTACATTTTACATCCTGTTATCTTGTTTAGACTGGCTGCTCTTAAATTAAACACAATTTCATCCACTAACTATATTTATTTGGGGAAAGCAACATTTGCATTGTGCATACTGAATACTTTTAAAGCCACATGCCCCATTTTAAATGCAAAATGCAGGGAGAAGTATCTGAATATTTTATATTTAAAGGCAGGGTTGGTCATTTTGAGAATCTAACAAGAGTACGCTAGATTTTCAAAAATGATCCAACTTAAAAATCCAGTCCAGTTTTGTCAACTCATTTGCGATTAAAGTAGCAGCACTAGCTCCAAAAGTCACTAAAACACCAAGTCGGCAACAATGGCAGCCCTCCCTTCAAAGAGACTCCCCCAAATTTGAATCTGAACACAAAGCTCCCCCTTTAATATTAAGCCTGGGTCCCCCCTCAGCCTCCTCTACTGTGTCAAATATTTT